TATATGGGGATAGGATGGATTGGTAGTGTATTAATCTTTTCACAAAGACTTCTTTTCATTGCTTACATTATGGTTATTTTTATTGCTGGTCAGGGTATCATTATATTCATATTATATGTACCACTCTCAAGCAATGTAAGTTCATATTATACTGGTAGTTAATAATTTGCAATGTATTTCCTATCAAATAAGGTCAGAGAAGCTTATGCTAAAGTCTTAAAGAAAAGGCTAGCTAATTGGTCACTGACACGAAGCAAAGTCAGTTTTTATCTGCAAATTTTTAAAATGATATTTGTGATTAGGCTAGTGGAGATTCTAAAAAGAAGTCCACTGAAGGCAACTTGAGAAGTAAGGATGATATGACACAGCATGAATCATGATATTATTACGTGATTTTTAAAAATAGTGAACACAATTGATAATGGGCTTGATGCAGAAAAAAGCAAATCAATGGCATAATTTTTATTGACTTTACCAAGAGTACATAATATATACTCTTGACTTTACTAACAGCACATGTCATTATTATTATAGCAATGTTTGTATTGACTGTGTATTTTATATATTTATCATTGTTAAATATTATGTCTTAGTGCTCAAACTTTTTGCAGTAAAAATGAAGAATTACCCTGTACTATAGTATAGGGAATTTTGCTCAATTTTGGAGCAAATTCAGCTAAAATTTTTAAAATCTAACTTTGATTAGAATCAGCTCAAATTTGCTATACAATAGAAAAACATGCACATGTTTCAAAAAATGTGAATAATGCAGATTTTTCTTCTAATGAAAGTTACCTGTGCCCAACTACTTTTTTGCAATAATCATGTTTTGATACAGATTAGGCTATAACAAATTACTACAGTATAATGATGATATCAATTACTGTATTTCCAGGCTATATAGATCACATGCCTATAGTAAAAAGTAATTTTATTAAATGTACATTACACAAATATCAAAAGTGTGTATAATTATTATGAGAAATTCATAAATCTACATTGAGGTGTTCATTGTTCCTTCTCTATTGTCAAATCTAGCATTTTCAATAGCTAAAGCAGCTTGACTAGTAGTAATGTATGTATTGTACTTATGTGCCTTAGGAGTGGTTGTTGAGTGGCCCTCTTTTGTGAAGGACAAAATATAGCTGTCCACTGCCTCCTGTATTCATTGTTTAGTAAAATAAAGAAAACAAACATAAAAAATGCATTAAGAAATGCAAATATAAACTGGACTGTATAAGATACACTAGGCAACTATTCGATATCCAAGTTAAACTAAAGAGGATCATAATAGAAAAGTGGCATTACCACGTGTTCTGGCACTGTTAGTTTTTTATTTTTGTACAACTGATGAAGGCCTTTGGGCTGAAACTAATTTATGTTATTTAATAAATGATTATGGTTGTGTATAACACGCCAAATAGCAACATGTTGCTTGCAACATTTGTGGTTACTTTGATCTTGTAAGTAACATGTTGCCAGAAATGAACGGCCTTCTATTTCTGGCTACATGTTGCTTATAAGATCAAAGTAGCCACAAATGTTGCCAGCAACATGTTGGCCAGTGTATGCCTGGCTTAAATCATGTAAACTAAAGCCATTGATGATGTGCATGGTCAATAGAAAGGGACTGCTGCAATGAATAGATGCATGCAAACGCAGCTCTCTCTAAACTCAATGCTAGTCATAATGCTCCAGGTCAGTTTACTACTTTGTTATTGCTAACACTTCATTTGAACCTAAGGTGTTAATTAATAAAACTCGTTTGCACTTTGAGATGTTAATCGATGTCAAAACAAGGTGGAGAAATTAGATCTACCTATTATGGAATTCAATTTAAATTTTTGTTATTGCTTAGCTGTGTTAGCCAAGAAAACAAATAATGCTTCCTGTCAGCAGCCGGCCACCATGCACATGGGTGTGGTTTATAAACCAACTATATTACACAGCCAAGAATTTTACTTTGAATCATGACTGATATCAATCAGGATCAGCCTTGATACATTCCTGTATCATGGATTTTGGGCAGCCTGCAAAGCAATGAGTCTAGTATGATGCAATCATGATAACCATTCATGATACAGCCATGCTGGAGTATGGCCCTGGTTCAGCCAGAGCAACAGACATGATTCAACATTGATGCCAGTCAGGGCTGTATCAAAATAGACATCAGGCTTGAATCATTGATTTTGGGTAGTGGCCTGTATCAGAGATGATAATTCTTGGCTGTGTAGCTAATGTTAGAATACTAGCTGCAGGCTTTGTGGTATGATTCGAGAAATGTTGGCCTACTTGATTGTAGATTTACTATTTTTCTTTCTTCTTTCTGCTGGGGGTAGCTCAGACACTGCTTCATCTTCTGACATGATGCTAATTTCATCTTTAATAGCATCTCCAACTCCTTCTCCATCTAATTTATACTGTCCTGAGGAGGATCAATGGCCAGAGACAAAAGCTGGAGTAATAGTACATGGCACATGCTACCAAGGAATATTTAATGGTCAGTGATAACAAGTACAACTGTGTCAAGGCTCATGTATGCTTCTTTCCTC